GAGGGGCAGGTTGCCCAGGAGCTGCCCGCGCCCGGCTGTGGGCGTCGGTCGTGCCTCCCATCGAGAGGGGCGAAGGGCGGGCGCAGAGGAGGCACCTGGGTTAACTGGACGTTTCTCAGAACAGATACGTCCACATATTTTAAGAGTTGAATCTCGCCCTCACCTAGAAGTGGGACTGCTGTGTTTATCGAGTCTCGTCTGTCTGACGATCTTCCCGCGAGGCACGCGCGTTGGGGACGCGCCGGGTGTGGGTTTCTGGACCCCTCCAGGGCCCCGGAGGCCGCGGCCGGGTTCCCGCACCTGGCGCGCTCTGGCTCCAGGGGCTCCCGGGGCTCCCCTCTGGTGACTCAAAATGGCAAACAGGGCGCCCTGGCCGGCAGCCCGGCTGGTCAGTTGTCCCCATAGGCGGAGGCGGCAGGTTGGAGCCCCTTTCAGGGCACATAGGAGAACCAGCCCATGAACAGGTAACAGCAAGTCAGTGTTTTCCGCGCCCTCCCTCTCCCCAAAATCAGTCAATACATTCAAAAGAAAGAAAGAAGGCAAATCTCAATATGAAGCATTTAAGCCTCAATATAAAGTATTTAAAAATTCACTGTGTACCTTTCTGATTATGAAGGTAAATACAGGCTATTTATTTAAAAATTAANTCCAAAATCAGTCAATACATTCAAAAGAAAGAAAGAAAGAAGGCAAATCTCAATATGAAGCATTTAAGCCTCAATATAAAGTATTTAAAAATTCACTGTGTACCTTTCTGATTATGAAGGTAAATACAGGCTATTTATTTAAAAATTAAGTGCAGAGAAGACTCGGAGGACTTTGCCACCACCTTAGGGCCTGGAGGTCACCACGGCTGACCTTCTGGTGGACAACTGTCCCGTCTCTTTCCACGTGTTTATATTCCTAAGTCAGCTTCAGGTGGAACCAGGAGGAAGGGAGGAAAGGGCATCTGGAAAGAGTAACATAGGGTCCTGGGAGTAGAGATGGAGACTGATGGCCCGTGACCCCATCGCTAGGTGCTGAGAGGGAAGCTGAAAATGGGAAAGAGCTTGGGTGACAGGCTAAGCTCCGGACTCATCCCCAAATGAGTCCGACTCATAGGCCAAGAGTGACTCGGCCACACCTGTGGTTTGGGAAGGGTCACTGGTTATGGAGGGGACGGTGGGAGGGGGTGGCTGATAGCTTGGAGGTCAGGGACTTGGTCTTGGCCAGAGGTCTGAGGCCTGCAGGAGGGTGAAGGTCAGGGGTCAGGAGTTGTTTAGGGGGAGTTTTGGGAGAGGAGGTGCCTGGCTCCCTATCTGAGAGAAGAGTCGGGGACAGTGGAAGGAGGAGGGGATGGTATTTGGTTTGGGGACCTGTCCAGTTTGGGGTACTCATGGGAGTCCCGGGAAGGCCTTCGTGCCACCATCTAAATTCCAGGCCTCCCTTTCTCAAGCCTCCTGTCCCACTGCCTGTTGAGCACCCTGGGGTGTTGTGCTGTGGCGAATTTGGAAGGACCACTGGCTGGGAACACCCTTCCCCGGCCAGATTGTTGGGTCCCTTTCTGGTCCCCCGTTTTCTGCCCTCCATGTCGGGGCCCTCACAGAACATGGTCATGTTCTCAGGCCTCTGGGGGCTGGAGCTGACCGGCCAGGGGAGTGTGTCAATTCCTGCCGTGCTTATGGCCGGCACGCAGCTCAGCGCTTCACAGTACTGCCCGGCAGGCCCCCATTTTTTTCTTGTGTGTTCGCCCAGCAAGGTGATGTCATGCCTGCCCGGTCGGCGTGGCTCGGTGGGTGAGCGTCCACCTCTGAACCAGGAGGTCGCGGTTCGATTCCTGGTCAGGGCCCAGGCCCGGGTTGCGGGCTCCATCCCAGCAGGGGGTGTGCGGGAGGCGGCCGATCCATGACTCTCTCTCATCATTGATGTTTCTCTCTCTCTCCCTCTCCCTTCCTCTCTCTGAAATCAATAAACACACATTTAAAAAAAAAAGATGCTGTCCTGTCTGCACTGGCTGCTGTTACGTCATATGCCTTTATATTCGCTCAGCCTCCGAGCACACAGCACAAGGCACAAAATAGGTGTTTACTAAATACTTGGTGAGTGATAACCATCGGGCTTGTTAAAACTAGCAAATAACTTACTAAAGACAAACAACCACAATAAAAACAACCCAAAAGCCTCCTCCCAGGGCTCCCTCTGCCCCCTCACCCTCTTCTTATTAATAAGCGATTGTGACGAAACTGTCCCCTTCTTTCAGAAAGCATAAAAGATGTCATCGGGAGGAAGGTTAAGGTCGCACTGAAGAAGAAGGTCAAGCTGGAAGTCAAGGGAGACAAAGTTGAAAACAAGGTGCTGGTAAGTGTTGCTGCGGCCGTAGGAAGGGTCTGGAAAGGAACCTGCTTCCCCGCCCTTGTGGCTGCTTCCTCCTCAGGACGCCCGAGTTCTGGTTTACGTTCTGTTGAAAAGTTCCGAGGACCGTGTTGTCCTGGATCCTCTGGAGTGTTTGCTCGCAGATAAAAGCGGACTGATTTAAGTGCCAGATGTGGGAGTTTTTACAACTGCATTTCTGACCGCTGTGGCCGTCACCCACGTTGAGGTCCTCCGAGCCTGTTTTCATATTACTCAAAGTTCGATCTAAATGGAGCTTATTTATCATCTTTATCGCGGCTGGTTTATGATCTTGGTAAGGATTCAGGAAGAAGCTTTAGAGAAATGACCTCGGGTCGGCTTAATTGTTGAATTACATTTTCTCCAGTGTCACATCTGAGTCCATCTTACGGGGGACGATCTGAGAACGTGACGAAAACGTTTGTCCTTCCACGTGGTTTCTGGGTGTTTCGGCAGGAAAGGCCTGCTGGAGGCAGCGCCCGTGGGAGCCGAGACTGAACGTGGGGTCCCGTCCATGTTGCGAGAGGAGTTGCTGGGGGGCTGCGGGGCCGGACCTCACTGGGCACGGCTGGGCAGGCAGCTGTCCACGGACGGCCAAGCTGGACCTTCAGAGAGGCGAACGGCTTTCGGTGGCATTTTAGTGGCTGCGATGGCGGCAAACCCAAATTGAAATGCTTAGCGAATGCGTCCTGTTTGTATTTTTGGTGGAGAGAATGTTCTGTGTATCTTCCTATCACTGGGAATTTTCAAAGACACGTAAAAGGAGAGACTAGTCTCCTGAGCCCTGTGTACTTGTCTTAAGCAGTTTTCAGTGAGTGTATCTATTTCCCCACAGGGTGCTTTTGTTTGTTTTTTTCCTGGGGTATTTTAAAACAACCCCCAAACATGTCATTGGAAAGACTATTTTTAATATTCTGTTGCTTCCGTTGACATTGCTGCAGAATTTGAAGTGTCTTTCTGATGACACCTGTCTTGAGAAGCTCTGAAGGTGTCCGTCTGCCTTCCCCGTGGGCGTAGGGACTTTGAGGCGATGGATGAGTTCCTCTCTCCGTGCTCCGTGCGTACAGGTCAGGAGGTGGAGAAACTCAAGTGGGAGCACTCGGGTGACTTTTGCAGCAAAATGTATTCATGCCGTTGACTGCTGAGCTGAGGCCCTCACAGCAGGAATGAGCCCTGCTCTCATTCTGTCTTATTTGGCTTTAATAAAAAGTTTCCTTAAAGTATGTTTTTTAAAACATTATCATTTATTTTTTATTTATTGATTTTTAGAGAGAGAGAAACACTGATTTGTTGTTCCACTTACTGGTGCATCGTTGGTGGCCTCTTGTATGTGCCCTGACCAGGGATCGAACCTACGACCTTGGCGTATCGGGCTGATGTGCTCACCAGCGGAGCTGCCCAGCCAGGGCCTGACTTAAAGTATGTTTTACTTAATGTTGTTCAGCCTTTGCGCTGTGGTATTTTGGGGAGGTGGTTGTGTAGAAGGAAGAAACTTTCGTTTGACGTTTAAAGTCGATCCTTTGAAGACTTTAGTGTCAGGTAGCCTTTTGCACAACAGTCTGACGTGGCAGGTGGGTTGTTCTGAATGGACGCTGTTCGTGACTCTAAGAATAAACCCACGTCCTGAGTGTAATGAACAAAGTTAAATTTCAAAGGTGAATTTAGATGGCCAATATAATGAAGTTAGTACCATTTAAAAATACTTACGATTAGTACTTAATGTCAAGTTTTTTGGGGGGAGGGGGGCTCATTTTCACATTAGCTGGGTCCCGTTACGGCTGTAATAAAATTACAAAGGTATTTGAATTTAAGTAACTCTCTCCCCAAATCTGGACTCTGAGCGGTTTCTTGTGTCTCAGCGTCGACTTGTCCTAGCTGCTGCTTTCGTGCATAGGCAGGAATTATTCATAGAATTACTCAAGGTCTGACAAGCTTCAAGTTTGAGCAAGACGGTCTACGAGTGAACCTCCTTTAAGTTCTTGATGTTGGAGTTTCTGAATTTTGAGAAATTCAATGACTTAAATGAAGACGTTGGGGGCCGCCTTCTATGTGCATTTCTGACTTTTGGCCCTCAGGCCACTAACTAAAATAGGTTACAAATGAGTTGGCTCCGAGCTTTCAATGTATCTTCTCTGAGTCCCGTTTCTGTTCCCTCCCCTCGGCTGGGAGCTCAGCGTCCTTACAAGGCCAGGAGCCGGTTATATTGTTACTTGGTTGCGTTTTCCTGCCCTGAGATTTTATTCCATTCTGAGCTTATCTTTGGTACGGGCCTTATCTTCCCCGGCCTGCTTCTCGTGGCCACGACAGCTCCTACTTACTGAACATTGACCGGTCGCGAGCCCTCGGCGGAACGGGCACTTACGCGTTTCCCTCTCCCATCCCCGGCAGCTCTGCGGGGTGGGCACTGTTTACATGTCCCCTGGAGGAACCCGAGATTCGGAGAGCTAACCACTTGCTTCCAGTCATCCAGCTGGTTAATGGTGACTAGTTAGTGACTAGTTAATGACAGAGCCAGCTGTGCCTCGCTCAGAGGAAAAGAAAGCTGGCCCTTCGCAGAGGCAGATTCTCAGCCGATGATCAGAGGGACTTGGACCTTCGATGGGTCCGCACTCCTGTGTGTGTTTGAGTTGATTTCCTTGATTTCTATATTAACTTGTTCCATACTCACTGCGCGCCTGCTATGTGGCAGACACACAGTATGAACAAGGTGCACGTAGGTTCTGCCTCCGTGGGACTCAGAGCTCAGTCCAGTGGGAGGCACACACGCCACCATCAGAGGGGCCCTCACGCAGGCCCAGGGTCAGGGGGACAGAAGCCCACACTAGATGGACGGGTCAGCCCAAGGGTAGAAGGAACAGGTGCTCCGGCTTCCAGCACAAAGGGAACCGCAGGGGCCTGGAAGTCGGAGGGAGCTCGGAGTGTTAGGCGCAGGCAGTGACTGCGCACTCCTTTCCTGGCAGCTGAGATGCCAGGTGACAGTCGGGGCAGGTTAGACAGGTCTCTTCCTGACACCTGGTTCTAATGACGTCCACGTGACCTTTACCCTCCCTTCTGCAGGGAGGAGGTAGGCTCCGTGGTTAAGGGCCTGGAGCCAGGCCTGTTCTCCCCGCAGCCCAGCCACGTGCAACAGGGTTGATCGTCAGTTCAGTTCTCTAATGAAACGGCGAATAACAGCATCCATTTGTCAACCAGTGGCTTTGAGGATTAACTGAGATACATTTAAATACTGCTGAGCAGATAAAGCCCAGGGAACCTGGGGTCCTGTGTTCAGGTTTCCTCACCTTCACCGAGGGGCGGAGCTTGGTCGTCCCTGAGGCCGGGAAGGCTTAGTTGTAGTTTTATGGCACCTGTTTAGCAGCGTGGAGTGCACCTGACTAGATCCAGAATCCCTATAGTGTGCTTTGGCCAGAGATGAGAAATGCTCAGGTCCTCAGGGGTCAAGGGAGCTTGTCCATCAGGATGTTCAAGATAAACCAGTGTCTTGGCCTCGTGGCGTACCAGAGCCATTAATACACCTGTGCACCTCCTGGCTTCCAAGGATAAGGTAAAGGACGCTGTCTGTCCCAAACTGCTCTGGCCAGAGACGCCCAGGACCACGGGTGGGCCGGCTGGACCAGGGTGAGGAGCGCCGGCCGGGAACAGCCCCCCGCCCTGTTTCTGTGTTTCTTAGACTCGTAATCCATTCTCCCTTCAGGTGGTTGGATCTTCACCCACCTTTTGCAGCACCCACACTCTAAAAAATGTATTTTATGTCTTTTTAAAAAATTGAACTTTTAAGTTTTCTGTAGTTGTAGGTTAAAAGAAATAATACCGAGGGATCCTTTGTACCTTTATCTTATTTCCCCTATCTCTTAAAGTTGTAACAGTGTCACAGCCCGGGTGCCGCCCTTCCCCACGGGTCCCTCATCACCTTTCACAGCCCCACACACAACCCACTGCTTCTCTGAGCCACCGACCTGTTCTCCGTTTCTATAATTTTGTTACTTCGTAATGTCTGTAAGCGTCATCACATAATCTACGCCCCGTTCCACTATTCACCTACTCAATAGAGACGGACCCGTGGGTTGTTTTCAGTTTGGGGCTATTAGGAATTACACTTGATGTAACCATTTGGTTGCAGACATTCGTGGGAACACGTCTTCATCTCTCCCCGATCCACACCCAGGAGGGCAGCCGCGGGCCTGCGCAGCTCAGTCGCCTGTCCATTTCCTAAGAAGCTGTCAGACTTCTCGGAATGGGGTTGGCTGTGTGGCCCTAACCAGCAGTGCACGAAGGATCCGGACTTCAAACCCTTGGCAACATTTGTTATTGCTTGAACTTTTTTTTAGGACTAATGGTTGAAAGAAAAATACGTCAGGAGGAAGCGAGGTTCCTGATGAGCTCCTCCCACCCATGCTTCTGCGCGGCTTGTCTGGGGGGGGAATGTGGCCTCTCTCTCCCCAGGATGGTGGCCCTGGGTGTGCAGAAGGCCCCTTCTCCGTCTCAGCCTTGTTAATTGTTTCATTTTGGAATTTGGACTATCTCATCTTTGCCAGCCCCGTGCCTTCCACGCCTCTCATAAACGGGCCAGAGGCCGGGCTTCCTTTCTTAGATGAGTTGCCAGGAAGGTGCCTGCGGATTCCGTCCCGTTGCTCTGTTGACCGGCTCCCTTCCGGACGGTTCACCCTTGTTCATTTACTCCCTTTTGAAAAGTTAGCCTGGAATCCCTTTAACATATTTTCTTTTTCTTGGTTATTTATTTTATAACTTCAGAGCATCTTAATTAGGCTTGGTTAGAATAACTATAAGTTAACTTTTAAAATGTTGAAAAATAAAAGGATATTATTCTGGGGATATGCATCTTTAAAATATCGTGGCATGCTGTATTTCATGAACTCAAAATATAAACTCTGCTACCACTGTTTGTTTAAAAAATACATTAAATGGGGCTCTCTCTCACCTGAAAGTGTTGGAAGCACCTGGCCCAC